GATAGTTCTGGACAGTAAATATCTAACAAAATCTTAACTGCATTCTGCAGCAATTTTTGCTTTCTATATTAAAAGAAATTCCTTAAAACTTAGCTATAAGGGCCAGCGAGATGGCTCAGTGGAATAAGCACTTCCCTGGCAAGCACAAGGGCCTGAGTTTAATCCCTGGTTCCACAAAAACAAAAACAAAAACATAGCTATAGACAGGAACATTCAGCTTCTATAGATAGCCTTCTGGGCAGTGTGACCACTCCTTTCCTGTGAAAATCCCCAAGGAAAGATTAGCATGTTTAGGTGATCAGGGGAGGAAACAGAACAAATTAAAGGGATAAAATGAGTTATGAACATAAAACTGAGACAAAATTGAGAGACAATATTTTAGGGTCAGTAGTTTGCTTTGAGGACTTACTTTACTAATTGAAGAAAATAACTCATGAGGGCCGGCCAGATAGCTCAGCAGACTAAAGTGCCTGCTTAGGCAGGTATAGGGACCGGGGTTTGATCCCCAGTGTGCCATGCCAGCCCTGCTCCCAACACATGCTGAGATGGTGACTGAGACTGGGTGTGGTGGCGCACCCCTATAATCCCAGCACTTGGGAGGGTGAAAACAGGAGGATTACTACGGGTCCAGTCTGTGTAGTGAAACCCTGTAGACCCTGTACTAAATGTATAAAATACATAAGATAAATACATAAAGCAACTAATGAGAAGTTGGTATTTTGTCTCTTTTTAGAGGGCTTCTCAACTATATTTCTTTTGATCTATAAAAATTGATCATAATAGACACTGTCACCATAGTAGTATTTTTAGTGCAAAAATTAGATGATAGCACAATAAAAATAGGGGACAGAGATTCTTCCATGAGGAGATTAAGCCATTAATGTAGGCCTATATGTTAACCAAATCTGTGTGCTCATAAAAACTGTCTTAGGTTGCTCAAGCAAGCAGAGGCCAGCAAGCAGCAAATGTTCAACTAATTATTTTTGCACAAATTGTATGCTAGTCTAAAGGACTTCCACCCATGAATCTTTGGGGCAGCTTGGACTCAGTTGGAGGCTCCATAGGCTTTTATGTCCTTCTGTTCTTGTAGGACACTTTTTAAACAATTCAAAATAAAGCAGAAACATGAGACAAGAATTTGTACAAATTGTCAAAAGAAACAACAAGCAGTGGAAACATCCAGTTTAAATTTCAAAAGTAAATAAAGATCACATTACCCTATGGTATAGTTAGTTCATACTACTCATGAGAATCAACTGTTAAGTATCTAGGAATTATATATGTAGTCCAGCTATTAAGCCATCAGTAGCTGGGAATCATCCCGAGTGGTACGCTGCTCCCCAGAACCTGGAAACGCTGCACAGAAGACTTCTTTGGCCAGAGAGCCGATCCCCTGCACGTCGCTGGCCTGGCGCGTCATGCAGGGAGCGGGGCGCTTGAGCACTGCCGTCTACTTCCTGGCTACTAGTACACGTGGCTGGTTTGAAAAAAATTGACTTTATGTTTAACTCTGTCCTACACATGGTTCTCATTTCTTCAAATAACAGATGCCCAATAAAAAAGAGCAAGAAATGAGACTGAACTCTCAAGAAAATTGTAAAATACAGCGCAAACCATAGACTTAGTTGTATTTATTCTGGCTCATGAACCTCTATTTTGCAAAAGTTGCTTGCTAGTTAACTTCTATTTTTTTTTAACTTCTATTTTTAAAATACATGTTTTAGGTAGAAATGTTTCAAATTCAAACATATCTTGACAAAATTTTTGACAAAAATTGGCATCTATTTAAATGTAGTAGGCGTGGGTATTTTTAATTCTGCCCCTAAAATCTTGTCTCCTCTCAAGAACTACAGAACAAAGAGAGGAAGGAGGGGCTATGTCTTAGTAAAATAAGAAACATCTATAATTACACACTAAGAAGTGTGTCTTGACAAAAGATACAGTCTAAGGATTTTACATCCAAAAGAAGTGAAGTATGAAAGGCCCAAACTGTCATGAAAATGTAAGAATACAAGAAATCTTGCTGTCCAGCCAGCCATGGTGGCACATGCCTGTAATCCCAGCACTTGGGAGGCTGAGGCAGGAGGATCATTGTATGTTCAGGACTACCCTGGGCTACAAAATGAGCTCAAGGCCAGCCTGTGTGTAGTGAGACCCTGTCTTATAAAGACAAAAGAAAGAAAAATATTCTCCAGACCATTGAATGAGAAATCTACCAAAATAGGAGCTTCCCATAAACAAAAGATGACATAAGGACTGAGGTGAGGATTAAATGTAAACTTGTGGAATTTAGACTAAATTAAAGATAAAAGAACATAACGTGATATCTACATTCTGAAGCAAAGTTTAACATATAAGAGAATAAAGAGAGAATATGGCCCAAGATGTTAATCCTTTCGTTAATTACACTTACTGGTTGATGATAGCATTGGAATTGCTGCTAAGGCTTGTGGGTGCGTCTAGCATAAAAATGAGCACTCAGGAGCGATCATAATCCAGTCACCGCCTATACCTGCAGAACCAGGATTCTTGACTCAGAACTCTTCAGCAAGGAAATACTGATATAATGTAAAAGCTCTGTGAAAATCCTATAGTCCTGAATTTAACACTTGAGCTGGAAATAACACTATTAATTAATGATAATTTTATCAGAGAGTTCTGCCCACTGATAGGACCTAGCATCAACAGCCAACTCAGCTCAGTATTCCTCTCATAATTGTATTCTTTGTTTTTTTCCCCCAGTACTGGGAATTGAACTTGGGACCTTGCACATGCCAGGCAGGCACTTATGCCACTGAGCCATCTCCTCAGCTCATAATTGTATTCTTCTTTTTTTTTGGCAGAACCGGGGATTGAACTCAGGCCCTTGCACTTGCCAGGGAAGTGCGTATTCCACTGAGCCATCTCCCCGGCCCCATAATTGTATTCTTGAAGTTAAAATGTGCACTGAAAGAAACCTATGTTTTTTTTTGAAATGTTTGATTCTAAGTCTGGAGTAGGAAATGAACTTGGGACATCTTTTAGGGGAAAAAAGCATAGTAAAGTAATGTTAGCTGTTTTTATGGATTTCTTTGTTTAGTGATCTTTTTCAAAGGCTTTGAAATTTATAGTTAAAGATGAAATTTTTCATATATACTCTGTATTTCAACAGGAAGTTTAAAGACACAACTCCTAGGTTGATGTTTTCCAAAATCTTTTTTCTTAACTTAGAATATCTTATGGTGAAAAAATCAGCAGTATCTTGAATTTTAGCAAAATAGGTGGCATATGCCTGTAATCCCAGCACTCAGGAAACTGCTGAGGCAGGAGGATTACTGCAAGTTTGAGGACAGCCAGGGCTACATAGTTCAGTGTCTCAACAAAGCAAAAAGAAAGGACAAAAGATAGGAGAAAAAGAAGGGGGGGGGGGAATCATGCAAGTGTATATACAGCAAGGCTGAGATGATTGTACTAATGATTTCCATCAGCTTTTGAAAGTAAGAGTTGATGTTTAGAATTTTCACCTTGACTAACTCTATATACTGATACCTGCGATCTAAGCAACTACATCGAGGACAAATCTACAACATGTAATACAGAAAGCATGGTTGAGTACCTCTCAGTCTTTTAAATGTGTACCATTTCTAATGTCTTATCAATTATTATACTGTTTAAAATAAATTTTAAAAAAGTAAAAAAGACAAAAAAAATTAAGGTTTGTTAAAAGCAAGTGTTAATATTCAATTATTTGTCCAATTTTGCATAGCTATATTTGTTAATCAGAGCAACAGATATGATGACAAAAATAGGTAATATTTAAAATATAATAACCATTGTTAATTTTCTATTCTTATTTTGAAAATCTGTAACATATGTATTGTTATATGTCACCTGTTTCTTTGTTTCTGTTTGTTTTTACTCTTCAAAATAAAATACAATTAAATTAAAAGCAAAGAATTTCAGCAAGACAGTACTTGAAAGCTGGCAGTCTCATTGGGAAGGGGTGGTGTTGGGAAGGGAACCGAGCCACTACCAGTACCTCGCATTGAGCTACGTCCCAGGCTGGGCCCAAACTTGTGACCTTCGTACCTCAGCTTCCCAGAGCACTGGGATTGCAGGCATGTGCCACCATGCTGACAAAAGTCAGCAGTATCTTAAATGTCATCACAGTTCCCATTTAATTTCAAGTATATTTTAATATCTTTATTTAAAATGCAATGTATGAAACAGTATTGTTTTTCATAAAATTTTTTCTCCTTTTAAGAAAATTCGGGCTGGTGAGATGACTCAGTGGTCTAGAGCACCTACTTAGAACAAGCTTAGCAAAGCACAGGGACCACGGTTCAATCCCCCAGCACCACTTGCCAGCCAGCCCCGCCCCCTGGTGGGCTGAGCTGGCCACACAAACATACAAATAAATAATAAAATAAAATAAAAAAAAAAAAGAAAATTCGTGCCCTATCCCACCGTGTACATACTCCTCACCAAATGTTAATGTTGCATCCAGATGAGATTTGGGGTGCATTTAAAAGGGTTGTTTTTGTTTGTTTGTTTGTTTGTTTGATCCTGCTATGTAGTTTGAACTTCTATGAGAATGTGTGTTTCAGTTCTATAAAATGTATTTGTCCTTTCTATAAAAATATGAAAATAATTTAAGAAAGGAGAGCCATCTGTCTTCTGCCTACATTCTGCCACAGTCATCAAAAAGGAAGAGTCACGGGAGCATTTCCTACAAAGTCTGGGTACGGTTACATAGGCCCCTGGACCAGTTTGAGTCACCTGTTTCTTAGCTGTGTGGGCGGCGCCTTCATTTCAGCAGTCAGTAGGCAGGTCCCCGCCCACCCCAGCGGAAACATGCTGATGATCTCAGAGAGACTGCTCAGAGACTAAGTTTTCTCTTTAATTCCATAGTGTGTGGTAAAGAATACCAGTCAGATAGCAGTAACATTAAAATTTGTTTCAATATGAAGCAGATGGAAGCACCTTAAAGTCTCATCAAATCCTTTCTTATCACTTTTTAGAGTTTGATATTTCTTGTTCGAGACTGGAGTTTCCCCTACGAATTTTCATATGGGGCTGATGGTGGTGCCAAATTCTTGGAAAAACGCCTCAAGGTTAGTTGGATATATAATTAGATATGTGACATTTTTTACCTGTAGTGATCTATTTTTTGGGAGATTTACTGCATAGCTATTCAGTAGCTACAGTTTCATTTGATCCTTCCCTAATAAGATCTCTAAGGACAAAGGTTTTTGTTTTTTTTTTCAAAATTTTATTTATTTATTTGTGTATGTGTGTGTGGCCAGCTCAGTCCACCAGGGGGCGGGGCTGGCTGGCATGTGGTGCTGGGGGATTGAACCCGGTCCCTGTGTTTTGCTAAGCTTGTTCTAAGTAGGTGCTTTAGACCACTGAGCCATCTCACCAGCCCCAGGACAAAGGTTAATAATTACTTTCATAGTTATAACTTAAATGTTATTAATAATTTTGATAGAGAATTCTTTCATAGTGATCAACAAAGTAATTGTTCCTAAAGATAAAACCTTTACTTTGAAGAATTAAATCAGTTTAAGACCAATAGTACAGGCCTGGTGAGATGGCTCAGTGGTCTAAAGCACCTACGTAGAACAAGCTTAGCAAAGCACAGGGACCGCAGTTCAATCCCCCAGCACCACATGCCAGCCAGCCCTGCCCTCTGGTGGGCTGAGCTGGCCACACACACACACACACACACACACACACACACACAAATAAATAAAATTAAAAAAAAAAAAAAAAGACCAATAGTACAGATATCTGGATAAATTTTCAGTAGCGGTGTAAAGAAATGTCTAATTTTGAATTCCCAGAGTCAGTCTTAGAACATTTGCTAATAGTTCACGGTATGGAAATTAGAAGGGCTCTACTCTGTAAGAGATGATAGTCCATTATTTTATGAATTGGCTTTACATTGAGCAGATAGCACAAAAAAATACCTTGGGAGAAAAGCTGAAGTTTCAAAAGTGCACCTTGAGTATCAGGACCTATAAGCCTACCTTCTTAGGTTTATAGTTAGTTCTAGAGTAGTTTGTCTACACCACAGACAGTCAAATGCATGACCTAAGAAGGGAGTGATTGGACTTCCAAGTAACTATTCAGATACCTCTCTAGAATTTAAGTGCTTACTACTAAGCAATAGGAAGCTGTCTTTACTGTCTGAAAAAAAATAGGAACCTCTTATGATGTACTGTGTCCTCTATGAGCACTTTGAAATAAAATTTGAATTTGTAGGAACTGGAGTACAACCCCACTGATTTGCACTCAAAATGGGAAGGCCCATCTGCGTAGCATGAGGGCAGACGCTTGCTAGCTGCAGTGACTGTGCGTGTGTACTGTGCCTGCGCAGAGCAATTTCACCCAAGACTTTTCTCTCTGGTAGCAGCCCTATTGTGTCATTTTTGTCATTGTGGGACCAAGCACAGCAAATATAAATGCCACAGAATTCTTTGCCTTCATTTAATTTATGTTTCAAGTAAATTTTAAACTTCAGAACAATTTATGGCAGGTCTCAGGGAACCAGCATGAAGAACTACAGAATGTTCGAAAGCACATCCACTCCTGTTTTACCAACATTTCCTGTTTTCTGCTACCTCATCCTGGCCTAAAAGTAGCTACTAATCCAAACTTCGATGGAAAACTAAAAGGTTTGTCTGCCTGTTAATGAATATATTAGTTCATTTAGCCTGATGAGAAAAATATCATTTTATTTCCTGGGCTTTTCACTGCTAGTTTAGTGCATCCAGAGGTGAGGCTGATGATTACAGGTTGTCAGGAGAATGGAGACTCCTGCGCTGGCTCTAGAGTTTCTCCTCAATGGCCCAGAGGATTGTGTGGGTGCGGAGTGTGGTACTGCCTGCAGAGCTGACCAAGTGCTGGCTTCTTGCAGGTGGCCGCCCTGACCCTCTCTGGCCTCTGTGCACCAAGCAGTGCCACTTAATTTTCCTTAAAAGCATCTATCGTAATTAAATGCTGTACTTATTAAATTCCATAATTAAGAGGCTGAAAGAAACATTGTATAGTATTGAATTTAGGCTCTTTAAAGGTGATAGTGAAGAATTTAATTATAAATTATTAAAAATTTCACTAAAAGTGAAATCTTTTCTAAATGATAACCAATTTCCACAAAACACAAAGGCACATTTTTTCCTATAGTACTTACTTAGCTTTTGCACTTACCACATTAATAGAGGCAGACTGTTTTATAGCCCAGAACAGCTTAACCTATTTTTAAAGTGCGGGGTGGAGGCAAGGGTCTACACAAACTCAAGTTGCTCTTTCCCTGAGAATCGCCAGACTCCAGACGTGCTTTGCAGCAACTCCAAGATAGCACTGAGACATTTCTGACTTTCTTACTTCTAAGCTAGCACTGACAGTACCACTGAGTTTGGGAATTTATTGAATCACTGTAGAGCTTCTACAGTGTGATAGAGGTTAGACAGTGACACGTTTTTTAAGAACATTCCAGTCAAAGGCATTTAAAATTGCTTTCATAAAAAGAACAACCTAACGTCAGTTTTTAAAAATTGGGAGATTTGAAAATAATTTTCCCCTGTAGCCATGGCATCTACTCTCAGACACCTTATATTTAATTTTGACAGTTAATATCATAAATAGAATCCTAGGTTTCTTCGTGACCAACACTGTTTTTGTACACATTTAAAATCATTACCTTCTTAGAACAGATAGCAGTAGGCACATATTAACCCATGGTTGCCTGGATCCTGTAATTTCACTGTCACTAGTAAATTCCAGCCCACTAGTAAACACACAGACTCTTGATACTGTGCAATTACCTAATGGCTTCAATGTGTTTTGAATAAATTACATAAAAAAGGGCTTCACAAAGCCCGTCTTTCTTCTGTGGAGTTAGGAGCTGTAAACAAGCAGGGGAGGAACAGGCCTTCAACAACAGTCCATTATTGGGACAGAAGCATACTCTGGCTTGTTCCATTATGTGTTATACCAGTTTCTTAGGTTAGCTGACAGAGTTGCAATAAATGAGCTCAGGGAGAGTGCTGAAGACAGGTTATGCAAATATAGAATCCTACTTTTATTAATATTTGTTCTCTATCAGAGTTTACCGACATGTCTACACATACATTGATGTACAATATTGGTTATAGCTATGTGGTAAGTTGTGAGTTTACCAAAGTAGCTTGCCTGGGAGAAAGGAACAAAATCTGGCTTCAGCTGGTTTAAAAGTTCCATTTGAATAAGGCTCTTATAACTTAAAGGATTACAGTTAAATCTGTTTTGTGTACAGTAATGTTCTAACTTGCCTCCGTGTTTCCTTAGGCACCTTTGAAAGTTTACTTTAGCATTTTTCCATTCTACCTTGAATCTTGAAATTTAGTTGGTTTCTACCTGGGGTATCTTACCACCTGGCCATGCTGTTCTCCAGAGAACTGGCATCTGAGTGATTGTCTCTGAGAAAGAAAAATCTGAATATACAAACAGTTCTGTAAAAATTGTTCTTTGATAACAGTTGCTCCCATACTGTTTCAAAGAGAAGTAATTTCCTAGCTTATTATCAGCAGCGATCACTGTTAGTACTGCTTTTTCTTGGTTCCTCACAGTATTTGCTTTTACTTGTAGAAATAGATGACGAATTCATCAAAAACTTGAAAATACTGATTCCTTGGTTACTTAGTCCTGAGAACCTTGATATCAAAGAAATCAATGGGAATAAAATCACCTGCCGCGGTCTGGTGGAGTACTTCAAGGTATGCCTTGGTTCTAGGGCGCTGTGCATACATCCCTGGGGTCTGCTGCCCACAAGTAAAAGCATACGCTGTGTGTAACCTGGGAGTCCACAGAAAAGCTTTCGACCCAGAGACGCTTGCTTCTGCGTGGTTTTTTGTTTTGTTTTTTTGTTTTTTTTAAGAAAACTCCTTAGAGACAACTTGACTATTTTATTTTGAAGGAAATGTATCTTGAGATTTTGTGTTGTCAGCAGAGTGTTTTCCAAGGCCCATGACCACTACTACATTCTACCTTCATTCTAAAGATTTTTTTCCCAAAGGGACAATGCCTTTTTTTTGTACTGGGGATCAAACCCGGGACCTTGTGCTTGCGAGGCAGGCACTTATGCTACCTGTCCAGGACAGTGCCTGCTGTGGGAGAAAATTCTTCCACACGTCCTGCTGACTGTGCTGAGAGCTAATTTGAAGCCTCCAAGTTATTTTAAATTTGCATTTACCAATTTATCCCAGTTACCACTGAATACTTTTTACTAACTTACGTACTTAGTGAAGAATTTCAATGTAATTTCTGGATTGTTGCTCCAAAATAGTAATTTTCAAAATTCATGTTTTAGTTGGGCATGGTGGCACACACCTAATCCTAACACTTGGGAGGCTGAGGCAGGAAGATTGCTGAGTTTAAGGTCTACCTAGAATAGTGAGACTCTGTCTCCAAACAAAGTAAAATAAAACAACAGAAAAGTATTTGAGCATATGAGCAAGTTTTTTTATGCATTTTTTTTTATTAAATGTGCACTGGGATTACAGGCAGGCACCACCACGCCCAGTCTCATTCCAGTCTCAGCCCGCCCCAGGGGTGAAGCCTGCATGGCAGGCCCAGGATTGAACCCCAGCCCCTGGCCCCTGAGTCTGCCTAAGCAGGTGCTTTAATCCACTGAGCTGCTGGCCGGTCCAGAACAAGTTTTAAAGAAGATGAGTTGAGGTATCAGAAGGGCAGGACTGTCACCTAAAGATGTGGGAAAAGAACATGTGGGAAAATGGAAAAACATGAGCTAAAAAAGCTAACAGTACAGGATGAGAAAGAGATAATAACTGTAAGTTCCTGAAAATAGTTTTGAACTGTCAAGAACTTCAAGTGTAATTTAATATAATTAGAAAAATGCTGAGTAGAATTACTTGCTAACAGGTCTTTTTTTTTCTTAGGCTTACATAAAGATCTATCAAGGTGAAGAATTACCACATCCCAAATCCATGTTACAGGTATTTATCTATCGGGAGGCATGAAGCTTTACAACATACCTGTCACTGATGCTAAGCTTTCCTACTCCAGTTCACATACATGCCAGTCCATTATATGTAACTTAAAAATATTGGCTGGAATGATTTATTGTAAAATTATTTCCTAAATAAAATTCCCTAGGCAAGCAGGAAGAATGTTATTAATTAGGAATTCATATTCCATCTCATTTCAGAAATATATGAAAGTGACCCAGGTCATGTCCATCCGCTGTGCTTCGACCCCTCTGCCCCACTCTTGCTTCCTCCAGCGCATTCCTGGTCCCCAGTGTCCTGCCTCACTTTGCTCTGTCCCTGTGCCCTTCCCTGTCTCTGGTGAACACTGCTCCATTCCGTACTTCTGCAGGACTGGCTTTCTGGTTTCCGTGAATGCCTGAGCGCATGTGGCATTTTTCTTTTGGTATCTGGCTCGTTTCATTCACAATGACCTCCAGTTCCATCCATGTTGCTGCAAATAAGAGGATTTCACATTTTTTAAATGACTCAGTAGTATTCTGTTGTGTTGGCATCAGGGTTGATTCCGTATCTTGACTATTGTAAGTCGTGCTGCAGTAAACATGGGGGTGTAGGTAGCTTTTGGCACAAAGATCTCCTCTCCTGCGGGGACACTCTGTAGCAGAGCTGCTGGATCACATGGGACTCCTCGTGTGCCACGGCTGTAACTTACCCATGTTCCCACCAATGGTGTGCCAAAGAGCACCCTTATAGAAACCTGTTATAGTGAGATACACGCTTTTTTTTTTTCTTTGTTTTGTTTTGCAGTGCTGGGGTTGGAAAGAGATAAACCCTGTCCTACATGGTTTTCATTCTTTTTATACTGCATTTATTAAACAAACAAAAAACACCATGATTTAGAGTCACACATGTAAGAATAAACAAGCCCAAGGTTTGAGCAAGTATGCAGTCTTCACAATTAAATATCAAAAAAGACATGATGCTTTTATATATTTTTAAAATGTGAGTTGTAGGGCCGCGGAGATGGCTCAGTGGAGTAAGTGCTTCCCTGGCAAGCACAAGGAAGGGGCTGAGTTCAATCCCCGGTTCCGGGGGAAAAAAAAAAGTGAGTTGTTTCCATTTTGCTGTCAGTGATACACAGTATTTCCCATGAATTTGGGTATAGAGGATGCCCCCATTCCACCCACCATATTGGATGAGAAATTACAATTATTTCTTGAGAGGAAAAACCTTCTAAATGAAAATTCATTTTACAATTATAATTTATTAAGTAAAAATCTAGGTTTTGTGTCTTGAAATTTTAATCTTACTACATTAAAATGTAGTGGCAATATTTCAAGTTTCAAATTATCTGGTGACTTGGTTTTTTGTACATTTCTTACACATGGTGCTCTGAAATGTGAGCTGCCTGGGGAACTTTAAATAATATGAGGGCCACGGAGATATCTCGGTGGTCTAAGCACCTGCCTGGCAAGTGCAAGGACCCCCGGCTCCACATGCTATGCCAGCCCTGTGTAGCAAAATCCCGGACCAAATTAATAAAAGATTAAAAAAATAGTAATAAAGAATATGATCCCGTTTTACATTGTAATTTATACCTTGTCCAAAGGCCACAGCAGAAGCTAACAATTTAGCAGCCGTTGCAACTGCCAAGGACACATACAACAGAAAGATGGAAGAGGTAAGAATGAAATATTTTAAATACTGTTTTAAATAAAGCCAGTTCTTTTTCATTGAATCCATCCCCTCACAGTATGTTACACATGCAAATGGCAAGGACTAGTGTTTCTATTAGTATTTCCTCATTTTTAGCTTTAATGAATATGATAGGTTTTTCCACAAAAAATCAAAAGTTACATCCAGAATTGATGGAATCTTAGGCGCAAGGGAAATGTAGGACTATACAGACTGGCATTTATGATGTAAGGAGTGGACAATCAGAGTGGAAGTATCCTCCACATAATTAAATCTCAACCAAAGTGAATGGCATAGTTAACTGAGATTTACCTTGCAACTTTTCAAAAATTGAAAATATGTGGCTCAGAGACATTTAATATGCTCCTACTTAAGTCTCTGGAAGAAAACATTCCCCAGGCTCCATTCAAAGTCAAGTTAGTGAAACTCCCAAGGAAAATTTTCTGTTGCACAACTTTACTCTGAGAGCTTTGTGGCACTGATGAATCTTTTAATGTTCATTAGTGAAAATCATTTCAGTGCAGTTAGATTTCCTGGAGGAACTGGGATAGAAGCAGTTTCTTGGCTCTAGACTCGTTCTACGAATGAGCTCAATATACAAGCCAGATTTCATAAAGGTCATGCCTTTTCAGTGTCAGGGACTGGGATTAAGTCATAGTACTTTCCATATTAAAAAGAGAGTGAAAGATAAGAATGACTTTATTATGTAAGCCACTTGCAGAATACCAGCTACACTTAAGTTATGCCACAGAGATCTAGGGGTGGAAAATGTGGGCTGACAAACATGCAGACTCCTGTTGTTAGGTGTTACTTAGCAACAGGAAGTGTTCTGGGAAACCTGTCATCAGGAAGTTTGGGCACTGTGCAGGTGCCGGGCAGCACACTTACACAAACCTGAATGTGACAGGTCACTCAGCACGGTCTCAGGACAATCCACAGCCAAGGTAAACAGGGGTGGATATGGCTGCTGCCAGCAGTGCAGCACACCGCTTCACAGTCAACTTGTCATAAGTAGAAATATACTGTAGTGCTAAGAGCTATAGTAAATAATTATCCAGCATTAATACACTGTACATAGTTGCACATGCTATATCTATGTGCCGGTACATTTAATTTCTTTGGGTGGTGGTGATGTTAAGTAAAAATGAAACTCGGGGGCTGGGGAGATAGCTCAGCGGTCCAAGTGCCTGCCTGGCAAGCACAAGGACCCGGGTTTGATCCCTAGTACCACATGCCGTGCCAGCCACTGAAACTGGGCATGGTGGCGCATGCCTGTAATCCCAGTGCTGGGGATGCTGAGACAGGAGGATCACTATGAGTCCAAGCAGCATAGCAAGACCCTATGCAAGACCCATACCAAATAAAGAAATACATATTTAAAAAAAAAAAAAAAGAATCAAACTTGGGGCACTCTACCACTAAGCTAAGTCTCTAGCCCTGTACTGCTTTATTTTTATTTTTTTAAGGTTTGGGAGGGTCTTGCTAAGTTGCCCAGGTGAGACTTGAACCTGTGATGCCTGTGCCCAGCTGTGCTCTGCAGGACTCAGAAGTGATGCATCTCCATAGTGAGAAAGGATCACATTATACTTCATGACAGCTATAGTGTCACCAGGTGATAGAAAAGCACTCCACCATTGACTCAGACATCCTCACGGTGTGCCTGTACTGTTTCAAGGTCATCTAGCTAAATGAAAAATTTTGACAGTTGTTCATTTATATACTTGCCCATGTGACACAGATTTGTGGAGGAGACAAACCATTCCTGGCCCCAAATGACCTGCAGACCAAGCATCTGCAACTTAAAGAAGAATCTGTGAAGCTGTTCCGAGGGGTGAAGAAAATGGGCGGGGAAGAGTTTAGCCGGCGCTACCTGCAGCAGTTGGAGAGTGAAATCGATGAACTCTATATCCAGTATATTAAGCACAACGATAGCAAAAATATCTTCCACGCAGCTCGCACCCCGGCCACACTGTTTGTCGTCATCTTTATCACGTATGTGATTGCTGGGGTGACTGGGTTCATTGGCTTGGACATCATAGCCAGCCTATGCAACATGATCATGGGACTGACCCTCATCACCTTGTGCACGTGGGCATACATCCGGTACTCCGGGGAGTACCGCGAGCTCGGCGCTGTCATAGACCAGGTGGCCGCCGCTTTGTGGGACCAGGTAAGGAACGCTTAATTTTCTTCCACTAAATTCAGCACCCATTTGAATGTCATCTATTTAACAGGCATTGCATCAGATGTTGAAAAGCATATAGATAAATATGACTTGGGCCCCAATCTTTAAAATTTTACAATCTGGCATCATGGCAAGATGGAACATGCATAGTCCTACACTTTTCCAGCTCGTATTTCAGTGTTTTAAAAAAATACACAGACGAAGCAGTGTTTTTTCTTCAAAATTGCTAATTATGTTAAGACACACAATGGTCTACCATTTGCCTAGCACTGACTTTGCCAGGAGTATACAAACCATGATAGCATCTGTGAACCTAAGTTATCACACCAGTCCTTTTTAGCATAAACTGAAAATGGTAACAAATCACTGCAAATTATCTTTGAGACCCTGTACCGAATGATTAAAAAAAGTTATAAACCCACCTAAAACAGTGATCAACTCACTGTAGCATTGTTGAAGTCTTTAGTTCATGAAAATTTAGTCAAGTTAAAGGTGAGAATTTCTATAAAATGTTGAATTTAAGACATCTAAACCTGTCTGTCTGTAGGTAATAAGGACTGCTACAGTTCTCCAAGGTGAATATCCCTCTGTATATCCCACAGTAGAATTGTAACTGATGGCTTGACTGTAAATCTAGCTGAGATAAACTAAATGATGAGAATGAAGTAAAAACTGGGTCCTCTAACACTCACTGTGTGAAACAGTCCCTCACCCACAAAAAGCTGAAGATGTGCTATTGGAGATAAATCTCAAAACTCTTCTAGAATATGATGCTGAAAGCTTGTCAGAAGTAGATTTTTATTTGTGGAAAGATTTTGATAAAATGTATACTCTAAACTGAAACATCTGCAGGAGTATTTGTTCTTAAATGCTCACAAATTAAACAGAGTAAATGTTTATTATAAACAAAGTTGAATATCCTAATGCTATTAATAAAGCCCAATATATACTTTTCTTTTCTCTTTAAAATGCCTTTGCCACAGGGAAGCACAAATGAGGTAAGCTGAACTTTTTTTAAGAACTCTGTATTTGTAAACATTGAAACATTTTTATTTTATAAATGACTAGGCAGTAAAAGATAATGAATTAGTCTTTAGTAACTACTACTATTATGTCTGAGTTTTTAATTACGAATTTTTAACATATCCCAAGCATATATAATTCGCTTTGCACACACAAAAAGAACTGATCATCTGAAAGAGTACTGACTGTGTAAAAAATTTCCCAAGTTCTTAAACTGCCAAGTGAAGCAAGCAGGTGAAAGGACTGAGTAAATTTAAGTACGGAGGTTCTAGTTGCAGCTGCAGTTGCTTTCATGCTTGGCTCTGAGTGACAGTTACCCACACCACTTCGAGCAGGTTCCTGGCCACCCATCTGTACCTCAGCTCTGGCCCGTACACCAGCTCTTTTGAGCTGTTACGTATGCAGAACTGCACATGTGAGGAAAGGGTCCAAGCGTTTAGAAGTGAGCAGTTTTTACACAAAGAGGAATGGCCTCTGGGGAGTCATTTAGGTTATTATCTTTGGAGAAACAAATCAGACTTTACACGACTACAGAAGCACCACATATTTTTTCCCTTGTTTTCTACTTTACTATGTAACTAGATTATGTCCTCCAATCAAACACAAATCATGCAGTCAAAATTTATAAGTCAATAAAATTACATAAAACTAAAAAATCACTAAAAAAGCAGTAACAAATTTCAACTTTCTTTAAAAGAAAGTAGCAACACAAATATAAAAGATTAATAGTATTTCTTGGGAATAGATTACTACTTAAAGGATATAAAGCTTTTACTCATCTCTTAAATACTCAAACTTTTTACACACTTGATAACTAAATTAGACATGTTAGTGAGAATTGAGTGTTCAGTATGTGAAAACTCAGGGAAGAAATGACTCACACACTAGGGTGGGGGAAGAGATGTTTATGGGCACTAAAAAAAACAGTACACACTTTGCTAAAATTCCTGGGATTCCACCACTGTTACAAGAACACAAAGAACAATCAGAGGTAGTTTCAATGAGGAAGTTTTCTGAGGTGGTATTTCTGAGTAAGTGTCTATAAAATACAAACCAAGTAACTGAAGCAAGGCAAGAAAGCATGTGGAGCCAGGGACCCAAGGGTGGGATCCTGAGGAGGGGTGGCCTGCTTGCTTAGTGGCTTGACCATATCCGGAAACAGTAAATAAAACTGGTCCTATTCTGGGAAATATTGGTAGTCAGAAGGTACAAGTTTGTATAACTTATCTTAAAACTGAAAATGTTCACAATGAGTGGCCCACCCAGCCCTGAGGCGTGGTAGCTGGGGAGCTGTGCTCCAGGAAGTGCACATAGAAGGAAATGCAGTCTGGGAAGACACTTACCATGAAGTTCACTCCACAAGGTAACATGCTGGAAACCCAGAAGAAAAATACTCATATGCTGTAGGAAACTCCACATTTAACATGCTGTTTATCAGTTTCATAAGTAACTAAAAAGGAAAACTTTTAAGATGTTTGGTAAAATGCTTTCTAATCCTGATCCTTGTGTTCTAGGCTTTATACAAGCTGTACAGTGCGGCAGCAACCCACAGACATCTGTATCATCACGCTTTTCCTGCACCAAAGTCAGAAGCTACCGAACAATCAGAAAAGAAGAAAATGTAATCCAGCTTTTAAAAATACAAGTGCATGACTGGCTGTCAGTTAAATATAGTTTTGGGTTGTTTTTTTTTTCCCATGCAAACATCAAAAGTGCTTCCATGAGAACAGAATAAAATACCATTCACCTCAAAGTCTGCATAAAGGTTTAGTTCCTTTACTCCAGTGTTTAATAAGCAGACGTGTGTATGCATGGTTATATCATTTGGTTAACATGTAGCTTCCTGATTTTTGTCTTTAAATATGCTGTTATAATTTAAGGTATTTGTGGATTTATGATGAGAGTACATGTGTTCTGCTTGAATTTATTACACTCTCCTACTGGATTATAATTAAACCATGTAGTGATATTAGTCTATTCGGAGATGCTCATTTAATTTCTACAGAAATTTTTTTTTAATGATTCCACATAGCTGTTTGTTGAAGCACAGCATTATTCAGCAGGCTTGATTTAACTTACATGATCTTACTCTTACCGTGACTTCCTAGTTATTTTAAAATACATTTAATATATTGGAGAGCTTTTCTGTTGCTTTACCAGAAACTATATATGCTTCTTTTATATCATGATTTAATATAGAATGTAAACCTCTTGATCAAAAATGCACAAAAAAAATCACTTTGTATATGTATTTGAGTTCTACTGCATTGTATATTTTTTCATTTGGTACACAAGAAATGTATTCTTCATAGGTTTATTCTTTTAACATGTGAACTATTAAAGTTTACTCTGGTTCCTAACATTAAAACAAATGCTCACTGAATTTGGAAATGTTTGTGAGGTACTGTCAAAGAATGGTGGAAATTGATCTCCTTTTTAAGTCAAGATGCACCATTTTCTATTGACACTGTTAGAATTTTGATTTTCACTTTAAGAAACATGCTGATCTCTTTAGGTGCCTTCACTGTTTTCTTAAAACAATGAGTAGTTTTATAATGTATTTTTAATAACTAAAATCTCTAGTGGAGTTTCATTAAGTCTCAGAGGTCTTACAGGAAAGAAACTGGGGGTGGGGCTTGTAATGACAGAGTAACACTTCTGACCTGGCAGATGCAAAATGGACGCTGCTGTCTACAGCTAACGGGTGAGAACTCCACTAGCCATTCTTTAATTTTTCAATACCCCTTTCATTATATTGTTTCTTTGGCCTATGGGCGTTCTGAACAGAAAAATAAAGCATCCTACATGCAAAATATGTATTCAAACACCACACATATAGTTTCCACAAAAATATATTTAATAAAGTTGTTATATAAAATCAAACACTTAACATTTTATCAATAATTCAAACCCACTTATGTATTAACTGGGAGTGCTTTATATTTTGGAAGACTACCAAAACCAGAAACATACTTACATATATTTACAGCTCAGGTAAATGTAACTGAAAAGTTATGAATTCACAGAATTTTAGAGATTTACAGGCTAGAAGTATATATACTTGTCTGTAATCAAACATAGTGCGTAATTATGAACAACATTTTAATATAAACCAAAAGGGGAAAAGCTAGGAAAGATATGGTTGTAAAATTGTATGGCAAAACACTTAGAAGATAAAAAGTAATACAAAACTGATCTTATGGCCAAGAGTGCTCATGGAATCCCTGATTGTCACGTCTGGTCTAGTCGGGGGGAAGGCGGGTGGCACTGCGAGAGCCCTGCACAGAGGTCTCATCGGAGCCCAGGGACAGCAGCAGAGCTCTGGCTGGGCCTGCACACACCTTCCCCACCCAGCTAGGCCTTGAGGCTGGAATTCACTCCTCAGAAGAGCCTCTACAGGCTTCAGAAGGGTCCCTCACACTGGAAGGAACAGGGGCCACAACATACACCACATAGAGAAATTTATCACAATAAAGCTTCCAAATCGTATTCTGTATTTTGAACTACGCCATGGTAATATGCAACCTATCCCATTCCAAATAACATTCCACATTAAGCAGGAAACATTTTTTTTAAAAAAAGAAATGGCATAATTTAAAGAAAGGTATTGATGACCTGAGGAAATAGCTCAGTGGCCTAAGTGCCTACAAGCATAAGGTCCCCTGGTACCAAAAAAAAAAAAGAAAAAGAAAAAAAGGAAAGCAAAGAAAGGTATTGCCATAAGAAGTTATCAACTGATCATTTCCTGTTTAATATATGGTTATGACATTTTCCTGCTGCGTTTTTCTCCATCAAAAATATTCAAAGCAGATTTCTAACACACAGCATGTGGATGCATATTCCATGTTGGCTCTAATAAATTCACTTTTAATTTGTAATAAAAGAAAACTCCTAATAACAAAATACATGTGAAATTAAAATTTTATAATTTCCAAAAAGTAAGCTGCCTTTGTTAACCAAGGTACTTGTCTGCATTTTTTAAGCCTGTGAAAATATTGTAATGCTCTTCTAAAATTTAAAATTCCTTTTGAAAAGTTAACTTAAAAATTCTTGCCATGTTGCTGGGCATACCACTGCTGTCTCTGCTTGCGATTTTCCAACTCAGTGAGAAGAGCCTGTCTGTAGGCTTCCTACATTTTAACAATCTGTTCCAGTTCTTTCATGAAGAGTAACTTGAGCATTCCCTGGTATGTATCCAGGTCAGCCAGCTGAAAGAGTTCCCACTTCAGAATGTGGTCGTATCTGTTTTAAAACAATGTTCACAAACCACATACGTAAGCATGTATTTAAAGCAATCAACTAGTGTATTTTTACAAATACTATTATAACTAAACAAACAAGCTTAAGACAACGAAATCATTAACTTGATACCTGGTCTTTTTTTGTTTTGAGCAGGGGTCCTGCCCAGGCCAGCCCCAAACTCCCGGGCTCAAGTGATCTTCCTGTTCAGCCTGCAGAGCAGTTAGGTCTGCAGGTGCAGGCTGCCACGCATGACTACACACATCATTTTTAAGGAAATCTGTTACATTACTTCAAGTTAAAGAATGTCTGTCTATCCGATAACTTACTACTAATACTTAACAAGCATGAACACCAAAGTCATGGTTCTATAATTTCTGTGAAGATTTTAAGCCACACTGCTTGCAAATAATGATGCACAAAAATGGGCGTCATTGGTGTCACTGGCAGCAAACAACTGAGGAGGAGAAATCATTAGTTACAGGCTAAGTTCTCCAAAGGATAAGTAAGACTTGTATCTAAAAAAAAATCTTAAGGGAATAAACTTCACAATAAAAGATTAAATTACTGTGAAAGACTCTAAGGTGTGGCAAAGGACCAATAAAAATAATGGCATATCCTGGAAAGCCTTCAGTCCTCCTTCAATGGTACGTGGCTCACATTTTGAGATGGAACCAGGCAGTAACTACTGTAGGAATTTATTCTTCAAAAAAGGTCAGGAGATGGCGCTCCAATTTTCCTATTATAAAATTAAACTGAAACCTAAAGAGGCTATTTATTTCCAACAATTTTTACTGATTAAAAATTCAGAAAAGAAGAGAACTGTGGTCCAAGAAACTGTTAAGAATATGAATGTTAGGGCTGGCCAAATAGCTCAGAGGTTTAAAGCGCCTGCAAGCAGGCACAGGGGCCAGGGGGTTCTATCCCTGGGCCTGCCGTGCCAGCCTGCCCCCAGGGCACGCTGAGACCACAACTGAGACTGGGCATAGTGGCGTGTACTCTCAGCTCTGGGAGGCTGTAAACGGGAGAATCACTATGAGTCTGATCTAGTAGTGAGACCCTGAACACCCTTCCCTAAAATACACACAAAAAAAGAAGAGGAAGAATGTTAATATCCACTAACAAGACAAAGAATCTGAAATATAGTAAGTTACATACCTATAGAATACCAGTATCTCTCAAATCTCTGCAGAGCTGACATAATAGCTTTGCAAGTCCTATTAAATTTGTTTTTAAAAATCTTTTTTTATTATGTCCTACCCAAGTGGTTCCCTGGCAAATCATTTAATATTCAAATGGATCATCCATCTAATGTTAAAAATATGTGACCCCTTATAAAAGGGAAAAAACACCTAACTGGGCAGCTAGCACCGCCACACCCTTGGGATCGGGGATCAGCTGTCCTACCCCAGTGCTTATTCCAGGAGTATCAGGAGCACAGTATGCAAAACCACACGGTAAGTGTATTTCATTGGATTCTTGTTCAAGTGCTTGAAAACAGCAAATTTACTAACAGGCACTGATTTCTTTGTAGAAAGTTTGATGTTCTTTTTTATGGGAAACTATACTTGTTTGTTTTTGTTACTATTATTATTATTTTGCTTTTCTGAGATTGGGTCTTGGTTGTAGTTCAGGCCAGCCTTTAAGTCATAGGTAGCACACAGCCTGACCTCAAGCCCAATTACCTTTCTGCCTCAGCCTCCCAGGTGCTGAGAGTACAGGCAGGTGCCACCATGCTGGGCTACACTTATTCCTCAACAGAAATCAGAAAAATACTTAGTGAGCCTGCATAAAGAGTTACCTGTTAAGTATTTTCTAGAACTTCTGACATTGATGTAGCTTAAGATTTTTACTTGATATAAATTCATAATGCCTTTTTTTTTGGCAGAACCAGGGACTGAACTCAGGCCCTTGCGCTTGCCAGGCAAATGAGATTAGGACTTTCTAATCCTAATCTAGCCCTGCTTTCTTTCACCCATGTACCTAAAACCCACTAGGACCCTTATTTTTTATCACTTTATAAATTAATCTCTAAGAAAGAAAGTTCATTACTTTATGGCTAAGAGCAGACATCTGCATCTAAAGAACTGAAGGATCAATGTTTTGAAGAACTAGCATTCTTAATTGGTGATGTCCAAACTTCGTAACTTCTGGTATCCTTTATTCAATACAATATTACGTAGAAGCTCAGCATTATTGGAAGAAAACCATGGTAGTAATCTACTTGGGTGAAATGGCTCACAGATCCCCGAAGAGTGCCTGTCCTGTATTTTCACTTACTTCACAGGGGCTCGAGCATATACTTGAAGCCAGTCGGGAATTTCCGCGGTATGGTAAGGGTTTGCAGGTACCAGAAGGGACTGATTTCTTTCCGTCTGCTGTGGCTGGTATGTGACAGGAGGAGGTTGGTCATACCGAGGGACACTAAGAAGAAAGAATCGGCATTCACATCAAAAGCCCTAAATCTAAGCAAGAAATTATAAAAACAATTCCTAAGTTTCCTTCCATGTGCTTCTTGCCCGAACTGATTAACACCCCTAAAAGGTAACTTTCTGACAGAAGCTTTCCTTCTTTACCAGACTACAGGGAAGTAAAAGCCACCTTCACCTTCTCTTGGAACTGGTATGCTGCTAGTGATGGATACAAACCTAAACCAAACTTCTATATATTTTAAAGAAATTTCTCCTGGCTGATACTTACTCAAGTTTTAACACAATTTATAGAAAAGTTGTACCCTTTACATAGTCACAAATTTCTATAATCAGTATATTTGCTATAAATATATTGGAAAAGTTAATAGTTTCTCTCAGAAAAAAAAAAGATGTTTTCTTTCTCCTTTTAAAGACTGAAAAGAATCATAGGGTATATAGCACAGCAGGAGACAGAGAATACTGCACCAGCTTAAGAGCACGAATGGGAATTATTTTAAATCAAAGTGACTAAAGAGAACCAATCCAAGCTTTAATTAGTTCTAACGCCCACCCGGGGTATCCTGTGAGGGAGTGAGTATCTCCGTAGGGAGAGGGTATTTTGCATAAAGACCTAGGGAAAGCACTATAGCTCAGCGATTAAAGTGCCTGCAAGCAGGCGCAGGGGCCAGGGGTTCAATCCTTGGGCCTGCTGTGCCGGCCCCGCCCTCAGAGCGCACTGAGACAGCAACTGAGACTGGGCGTGGTGGTGTGCGCCTGGAATCCCAGCTCTTGGGAGGCTGTAAACAGGCGGATCACTACGAATCCGATCTAGTAGTGAGACCCTGAACACCCTGTAGACCCTTCCCTAAAAAACAAAACAACCCTTTTGGATTCTGAAAGGTCAAAACGATCAATTTCAGACTGAAAGACAAAAGGAAGGGTCTGCCTCCAAATAAACATGTATGTGCCTGTCAGAAAAGATCACTGCTCTGGGACTAAAAGAAGGGTTAGAGTATATTGTGGTTAATATACATACATAAAAATGGAACCGGGGCAGGGAAAATAGCTCAGTAGAATAAGCGCTTGCCTGGCAAGCGCAAGGGCCTGAGTTCAATCCCCGGTTCCAGAAAAAAAATAAAAAAAATTTTTAAAAATAATAAATAAAAATGGAACTAAATTTTATCTCCAAGTTTTCTTTCATAAATAGGCTCAAAAGAAATACTCATAACTGCAGTTGGTGGGTGGGGAAGAATCCAGGCTTTGAAGGCAAATACACTTATGTTTTCACCTCAGGTGACCATGTACAATTTATATGAATGTTGTTAAAAACTGCTTTATTTCTCTAAGCCTCAAGTTACTAACAATGAAGTCATACCACAAGTTCTCAGGATTAAATGAGCTAATGTAAGTTGTAAATTCTGCATAAGGCCCCCAAAACATGCAGGCTCCAATAGCTATTACTACTATTGGTGTGAACTGAGGAAGTTTTATTCTCTTTTGTTTAACTTTTTTTTTTTTTTTGCGGAACCGGGGATTGAACTCAGGCCCTTGCACTTGCCAGGGAAGCGCTTATTCCACTGAGCCATCTCCCCGGCCCCTATCTTTTGTTTAACTTCTACAGAGTTTCTGGGAGTAGCAAATGAACTAACTGTGAAAATGCTTTTAAGCTCAAAAATTCTATATTGGGGCTGCTGAGATGGCTCAGTGGTCTAGGGCACCTACTTAGAGCAAGCTTAGCAAAGCACAGGGACCATGGTTCAATCCCCCAGCACCACATGCCAGCCAGCCCCGCCCCCTGGTGGGCTGAGCTGGCCACACACACACACACACACACATAAATAAATTTTTTAAAAAAATTCTATATTGTGGGGTTAATGACACAGAACAGAAAAGTAAACTCTCTTAATCTGGTTATTTGGAGCATATACATCTGCCTCCTGGCTACAACAAAGCACAACCAGAGGGCTGGTTCTTGGAAAAGGAGGATAATTCGACAACCAACAGCTGGGTGCCATTAAAGGCAATCACTGGAAAAAGATTTTCAAAGCAGATTCATTAAATATGTAAATTAATTAAAGCAACAGAGTGCTCAAGCTTATTCTTTCAGCTAATGATCCTGAAATATATTTTCATAGCGAGGTTTCATTGTTTGGGTGTTCTTCTTGCTCCACAGTGCAAGGTACTAAATCTGGGGTCTTGTACATGCAATGCAAGGGGTCTGCCACTGAACTACCCCTCCAGCCCCATAATGTTTTTTCTTTCTTTTTTTTGTATTTTAGGGAAAGGTCTACAGGGTGTTCAGAGTCTCACTACTAGATCAGATTCATAGTGATCCGCCTGTTTACAGTCTCCCAAGAGCTGGGATTCCAGGCCCACACCACCACGCCCAGTCTCAATGGCTGTCTCAGTGTGCCCCAAGGGCGGGGCTGGCACAGCAGGCCGGGGGATCAAGCCCCCCCAACACCATGAGCTATTTGGCTGGTCCCCCATAATGATTGTAATGGTTCTAAAAACTTAAAAATCATTTACTATAACAAAAAATTTATTTTATGCCAAGTGAAGCTATGCAACATCTACCAACATACTAAAGATGGTTCATTCATTTTTAACTCTATGGCTCAGTTCTTGAAGCTTAAATATGATTAATATGAAATACTAATTCATTACTAAGCTAATATCCACTTTACATGTACTTTGTACCTTTATTTTACATTTATAACACATCAATGTGGATGAATTACAAGTGCTCAATTGTGACAAGTGACATCTGACTACATTATTAGATGTCACAGGATTAAATTCTAGCAATAAGCCAGATCTGCTGGTAAGTGCAGTATCAAAAGACACTGCTCCAAAGAAGCACTGGCTCTATTATTACACCTGGAATGTTTTGTCCAGTCCCAGTTTTCACTTTCTTATCTGCAATCAGTAAGAAACACAACATAAAGTGAGTAGTCTAAAACTGAATAAAAACAGCAAAATTTTCTAATTCAAAAGTATCTTCTGACTTGTTAGGAAGTAGGTCTGAGGTATATAGCACATTAAGTATGAAGAGACCCATGGATGACTTCTTAGTTTTCATCTGTGGGTATACCCAACACTAGCCTATTAAAGTAGAATCAGATCACAAGAACACTTGTCCTGTTTTTAAAGCTAGAAAGTACTTAGTATTTTTTTCATTATTAAAGTCATTCACTCCTAAACATAAGTCCAGAGAAAAATGTCGTAAGTTTAACATTTAAAGATTTAACAAGCTTCAGGATCTGCTTCTCCCTGATGAAAGAGAGTCCAAAATCTAACAGAAAACAGTATCAAAACAGAAAATGAAAATAGTCAGTAGAGTGTGCTAAGGAGAGTCACATGGAGAGAAAACATTCTCTCAGGCTTTCACAGACACCACACTGGCCAAGCAATGGCCGTGACTCATCCACGTGGCTGACACTGACAAAGGTCCCACAACCTGAGGTACAGGATCTCAGGATAAATCCTGAGGGGATTTCACTGACCCTATATCAGACCCAAAAGCTACAACTCTTGTTGCATAGGTCCTGCTTTACCTTGGTCTTAACCATCCAGCAGAAAAGTATAAAAGCGAAGCATAAGAAGTAAAGCCATGCTGTTATGTTGAGCTGTAGGGGACCCAGGTCAACAATTTCTGACATTGCCAGTCAAGTGGAAGACCCAATACTATTATAGACTACTGAACTCTTTTAGAATATATTGCTGAGCTTACACACCTATAATATTTAAATGATGGGACTTAACAAAAAAAAAGGGGATACAGATGAATGTCCATTTTGTTTCTGTGTATTCAAAGGATAGATATATAGTTACATTCTCTTAACGAATAGAGGGATTTGTTCTAATGGTGTTTGTAAATAGGATATCATGTCCGCATCTTGTACAGCAATTAACCACTAGGAAGAATGTATGCAATGTGTTAATTATTGAAACTGTCCTACCAATTTGGTTTGAAACTCATTGCTATTTCTCAATAAAATTATGGGGGGAAAAAAACAACATAAAAAAATAAAAGAAAAAGAAAGTCAACACTACCTTGGAGCACAGGGATGCCTGTACTGAGCCTTTTTATTTGTGTGATCTACGTAATAGGTTCCAAACTCGGCAGATTCCACACGCTCCCATCCAGGGGATAGTCCTTCTCTCTCGAGAGGGTGGCTCCAGTGCGTCGTGTTCGTGTTGTGGTCTATGTAATACTTCCGGCCTCTCATGGTCCAGTCAGCAGACCAGCCGGGAGGAAGCGGCAAGTCTTCAGGCCCGTGGGTAGTTAAGTTTCCTAAGGATGTAGCAGCAACTCTCCCAATACCTGGCAGGACAAAGCAAATGAGAGAAGAAAAGGAACAGTTACCACTGCATTATTTAATTACAAAGAGGAAAAACTAAACTTTGAGATCAGTGTGCTTCTTTTTGGATTGTTTGATAGAAACATTTAGCAACTAGTGATGCTACTTATCCACACTGCTAAAGGGAAAGGGAGGAAAGAAAAATCTCACCTCTTTCAACATTTAAGATCTGACATTTCATCTAAAAAAAAAAGAGCAAAAATGAACTTGTGAAACCATTCCTGCTTTATAATTTCTTAAAAATAATCTGGCTGTGCTCTTGAGTTGGTATGTAAATTTATCAAGCTAGTAGGTTATATTTTCAGCATAGGTTAAACAATACCAGCAATCAACAACAAGAAACAGAAGCCACTGAAATAGTACCATTTATAAGGATGCTACAAATCAAATATTGATACATAAACCTAACAGATCCATATGCTTAAAATTACAAAACTGCTAAAAGAAATGAAAGGAGAGCTACCATGTTAATAGGTGGTGGACTCAGCACAGTACAGATGGGTATTCTCAACTGACCTGTAAGGTAATTCCAATTAGTATTACCGCAGTTTTTGTAGGTATAGGTAAATAATGGACTTCAAATTATATGGAGACAAAAGAACAAGCAGCCATATAATTTTTTTTTTTTTTTGCGGAACCGGCGATTGAACTCAGGCCCTTGTGCTTGCCAGAGAAGCACTTATTCCACTGAGCCATCTCCCCAGCCCCATATAATTTTTAAAAAGAGAAAATTTGGTTTTAAGGTTTCCTATAAAGGTATAATAATCAAGACAATGTGGTACTGACAAAGAATAGAAAAGTAACAGATCAATACAACAAAACAAAGACCCCAGGAAAACATCTATACATATACAATCAACTGATTTTTGACAGAAAGTGAAAAAGCAATTTAGTGGAGAAAGGACAGTGTTTTCAAAAATGATGCTGGAATTGAGCATCAATATGCAAAACAAAAGAAAAAACCTTGAATCACAACCTGTACTTCCCACCTGGTAACACAAATTTGAAATGGATCACAAAACTAAACTTTTAGAAGATAAAACAGGATCTATTTTTATGACCCTAGGTCAGGCAATATGAATACATATAGAAAAATACTGGCAATTTGGGCTTCATCAGGATTACAATGGGCCAAGCACAGTAATGCTGCGATCCCAGCCTCAGGGAGACTGAGGCAGAAGAAGCCCAAGTTTGAGATTACTTTGGGCAACTTACCTGTCTCAAAATAAAGACAGCTGGGGGTTAGCTCAGTGCAAAGGCCCTGGGTTCAAGCCTAGTAATATCAATCAAAATAAAAATATTTTATGAAGAACATTCAACATCTTTAAGAAAACAATCTAAACTATATACTCAGAGGTAAGTTTGCAAATCATACATTAGGCAAAGGACTTCAGAAGAAAGAACTCTTAGAACAAAACATGAGGAAAACCCAATTTAAAGAGCCAAAAATTTTAAAAGGCTTTTCACCAGAGACGTTGAGGGGGAAAGTGAGCAAATCAAGAGTGTCATCTTAGCCATCGCAGAACGCAGATGGAAGCCACAGTGAGATGACAACATACGCCCATGGGCTGTCCAACAAAACCAGCTGAGGCAAGCCCCGATGCCAAGCAACTGCAAATCTTACCTTGCTGGAGGGAGTGACAAATCTTACAGTCACTCTAGAACACAGCTCAGCAGTTCTGTACTGCGAACCTTCTAAAGTTAAAGCTTGTCATGTATACAACAATCCTTAGCTATTTAGTGCTAAAAGCTGTAGATGCATGTTTACTGAATATTCATAATTGCACTAGAGTATAATAACCTATCTATACACATCCTTTAAGAGAACGGATAAGCAAACTATAGTACATACATACAATGGAGTCTACTCAGAATAAAAGGGAATGATTTTTATATGCAACACTATGGATGAATATAAAGACATTATGAAAGAAGTCTGTCTCAAATGGCTACAAATTATATAATTCCATTTATATGAAATTCTTATAAAGGAAAATCATGTACTTGCAAGTAGAGGTAAGGACAGAGACTGACTACAAATGAGCAGCATGCAGAATGTGGGGGCGGAACGTGCAAACGTCCATACGCTGACTGCTGGCATTACATGAATCTGCACATACAGTAAAACTCAGAACTGTGTATCATTTGCTGAAAGTTACTATAACTTATTTTAAAAATAATAACAGTGAGTCAGGCATAGTGGCACACATCTGTAAGCCCAGGACTCTGGGATCATATAAATTCAAGCTTAGTCTGGGCAATTTAGTCACTGAGACTGTATCTCAAAAAAAATTTTTTAAAGATCTGGGAATATAGCTCGCTCCGTAAAAAGCCCTGAGTTCAATATTGAGGACAACAACAAAAACAAACGAACAAAAAACTGAAATTTTATTCTCACCTAAGCACAGTAATAGTATAACAAATTCTCCTAAGACTTAGTGGCTTAAAAGAACTATTTAGTCTACAAATCTGTACAGTAGTAACATAGCTGTTCTCAGTTTTTCTGTTATTTTTGTAAAATTATCTTTGTCATTATAAGCATTTAATTAGTCTATAAATCTGTGTATCAGTAACAGCTGTTCTCTGTTCTTCTGCATACCCCACCTTAGCGCGCGTCATCACCTGATCACAGTTACGCCTCACATGAGGTAACTTCCTAGGAAAGGCTTCGCTCTTGCTCCGACCCCCACTCCTGCGAGCCAGGCTGCTCTCTCCCCGCTTACTCACATCCAGACATGCCCACTTCTTGCTGTTCTGAAAGCTAGTGGGTCCTGGTTGCTTCTTCTCCCTAGAATACTCTTCCTTCAGACAGCTGCCTGGCTCACTCTCTCATCCTCTACGAATCTTTGCTTACATGACACTAAAAAACTCAAGATTTACTGCCTATGGCAACCCTTAGCTCCCCAGGTAACATTTACTGTTTTACCTTCTTTGGTATCATTTATCCTTTATACAGAATTTTTGCTCATCATCTTTCTTGTAAGAATTCCACAAGGAAGATGCACACAACAGGAACCCTTGTTTTCTGCACAGGTATCTCTCTGGGGCCTGAACAGTGCCTGTGGAATACGGTGCACGGTGAACGCACAGGCTGTAGGAAGGCTGAGCGTATTAGAGGAGAAAAGATGCACAGACTAGTGAACAGAACACTCAGAAGGAATCCACACAGAGACACCACCTGTTACAGATACAACAAACCAACGCCATTGACCTAACACAAACTAGACTCCATCGTCAGAAAATTGATTTTAAGAAATTGATTTAAAAACATTCCATATGGTCCTTTTAAAAATTATTTTTAAAGAGAAAATTGTGCATAAAGAAATCTAGTATACATTAAGAGAAGGAGGCAGGACTGGGGAGATAGCTCAGGGGTCTAAACACCTGCCTGGCAAGTGCAAGGGCCAGGGTTTGATACCTGGTACCACATGCTGTGCAGGCCCCAGAACTCTAGGCGCATCATGCTGGCGACAGACTGACAGAACAACAGACAGGTTGTTTTTTAAATTAAAAAAAAAAGAGAAGGCTATTTGTAAGCTAATGCTAAATAACACCATACTTATTTAAAAACATTTATATAATCTATTAGTATAGGCACATTAATGTGGAGAACCCTTAAATTTTTATAAAGCCCAAATTCATTATACAGATGAGTTTATCATAACAGGAAAACTTCACCCAATATAAAGTACTTGAAATATAACACAGAACTGGCTGAAGTACTGTACTGTAAAGGATGTGAGGAACTGGGGAGACTCATTACTCAGGTAAGTGATTTATACCAAAGACTACACACTTTTTTCCTTGATTCTTTGACTAACTTTGCTTCTCTCCCTCCAGTGTTTTGCCAGTTCTAAAACTTCTATGTTTCTTACCATCCAGGGAAAAAATAAATTAGCCACTAGATAGCAGCTGTAAAGTGCCATCATGGATGCTCAAACACAGAATGTTCCAGAGAAGAGTCCGGGTTATCGCTCAGGTGTGAAAGGTGACTGCTCCAGGAACAACATCTGTCAAAAGGTTCCAGCTGGTTGACAAGTTTTTATGATTATACGTGGCCAGAAACTAAGCAAAAGATTTAACTTTAAGGAATGACAAAAGCAACATTTTTTATGTGTTTTGAAATTATACTGACAATCCTAAATATGCTCAAAACAAAACAAAAAACCATGATCTGCCTGGATTAGAATAACAATGTGTCTGTCAATCATAATGTATGTATATATAAACACTGGTGACAAAAAGCAATTCACAAGAAACTAAGGAAAAAAGCTTCAATTCAATCTCAGATTCTAAAGGAGGTATGTAAGTAAATGCTGTGTAGGTTACTGGCTGGAGAGTCTGGGAAGTCACAGTCACTTCAAACAGCAAATGCATGAGGCTAGTCACTGCAGCAGCATCTGTAGTGCAATGAAAGGCTAGGCAGAAACCAAATGTCCACTGTTAGGACAGTGGGGTGCATTATGGTTTGGACCAAAAATGTCCCCCAAAAGTCTCATGTGGGGCTTTCAAGTCACTGCATGGTGAAGGTACTAATTTGATTACTGTAGTTTATGCCTACCTGGGCCCTTGGGAGGAGGTGGGGCCCCTGGGAGAAGGGGGGCCCTTGGGAAGAGTGCGTCACTGGGCCTATGTTCATATAATATTGTAATGCAAAGATACAGCAAAAATTACTGAAACTGGTTATCTATGTGGGAGGAAAGGGAAAAAAGGACAGGAGACAGTGGTAGAAGCAATTTTTCTTCAATTGCCGTCTCAGTTCGCCCTGGGTGCGGGGCACTTTAATCCACTGACTATTTGGCCGGCCACCCAGCAGTAATTTTTCTAAGTCTAGTTTGTCTTATAGTTTTGATTCTGGAAACTTTTAAATGTCCTATGCAACTATAAAACAAAATTAAATCAATGTATTTTATCTTTATTTTTCAATCATTTATTTATTTACTTATTTGGTACAAGTCTCACT